TTCTGGTTAGCAGTCAAATGCCTTAGGCACTACACCACCAGAGCTCCCAACAAAATATCAATATTTTGGAAATAAAAATATTTCTCTCTCCAGAGAGAGAGAGAGAGTAAGTGACTGGATCCGATCATCTCTTTGAAATTCCATTTTTTGTAAATTCAAGCAGTTTCTTAAAAAGTACATTTAACAATTATTAAAAGATGTTTAGACTGAGGTTTCTCTTATACTTATGTATAGGACCAATATCTCTAGAATTTCATTCTTCAGTATATTGTGCCTTTTGCTTTTTAAATCTGTGAAGCATAACTTTTATAAAGAAAAGTTTTTTGAGATCTTTAAAATATTAAGAGGATAAAAAAGTCCTTACTATGAGTTGTTATTGCATTACATTATTATATTGGTAGAAATAAATTTGTATGCATATCTTTGTGATATTTTATAATGAACTATTTCTATTTTTGAAGCTATAGACTCAAATTTGCCACAATTTTCATTCTGGGTCTCATTATTAAATTTTATTTTGTTCTCATTTGGTGCATTTCACCAGCCTGTTATAGTCTTAAAATTATTTCCTTCTCCCAAGGGACAACTGCCTATTTGTCATTGGTTGGAATCATCAAGAGAATGTTTGGAAGAACTAATCAACAGTCATTTTCACAAGAGTCCTTTCCCTCCCCAGCCCTATAGATGCTAGCCCATTAATTCTCCCATTTGAAGACAATTATATTTCATGTTGGGACTTCCTGGGCTCCATTTTGCCAAAGATGATTAAATCCCAAACTTGAAACTTGAAAGATAACTGGTCAAGCAGCAGCCGTATGCTGAGAATGGGGATGTCTTAGGCCCAATCTCTACTTTCCGGAGAGATGGAATAATCTAGCTGGTAGAGGGGAACTTACATCTTGCAGTTAATGCAGATATTCCCTAGCTTGCTTTCTCTCTCTCTCTCTCTCTCTCTCTCTCTCTCTCTATATATATATATATGATATCTTGGTGTAAAGCACTATAAACTCACTCACTGCTGTCGAGTCGCACCCGACTCATAGCAACCCCTCCTTGGGTTTCCAAGGCAGAATCACTATAGAAGTAGATCGCCCAACCTTCCTTCTGAGAAGCAGCTGGTGGGTTTGAACTGCCAGTCTTCTGGTTAGCAGTCAAATGCCTTAGGCACTACACCACCAGAGCTCCCAAAGCACTATAAAAGGACTATTAAAATATTTCCATTTATTATGAGAAAGGAACTTTAGACAGTTTAACATCTTAATTTTGCAGGTGGAAAAACAAGTGTATGTGATGATTTTTTTTAATCAAAATAAGGTGAAAATGAATGGTTGCATAAATAAGTGAAAGGACATATGCTTTCTTTATTTGTTGTTAATCTAAATTAGTCTTAATTTTATGTTTTCTCTATGTTGAAATAATATACACATTGTTGCATATCAAGGAAACAGTTCAGGTTTTTTCTTCTCCCGAGTAATTGTTCTGTTGGCTTTTTGTTCCAAGTCTATTGAACCCACATTAATATGTAAACGGAATTTTACCATACAGAGCTATGTGTACTCATTTTACCTGGATTAATGGCTCACCTCATAGCCTTGTTTTAGGGCTTTGACCAGCTTCGACTTGAAGGATTGCTTTGTGATGTGACCTTGATGCCAGGTGACACGGATGATGCCTTCCCTGTGCACAGAGTCATGATGGCATCTGCTAGTGATTACTTCAAGGCTATGTTCACAGGTAATTTGCTTTTTGAAAGTCTGCATCCACATGAAAACCATGTGAAAAATCTGTGTTTTAATCCATTTCTTTCTAAAGTGAAATTCAGTTCTTTCCGGCTGTGTCTTTACAAGAGGAAATAGTTTCAAAAGGATTATATACCAGTAGGCACGATTATGGGTGGTGCTTTTTTTTGACTTGGATGTATATTGTCATATTTCTGTCCATCTTTATTTCACAGCCTTTCTTTCCCAAACATATATCTGAATTGGCCATCAGAGATTCAGTACCACTACCACTAATATAATCTTTCTCCATCAAAAGACACAAAATGATAGGAGAACATTTTGGAAGCACTTGCATCATATATGACTTCCATTAGTATAGAGATAACTCCTTTTTATGTATCTTTTAACTGCAAAATATGCGGAAGCTTAACTCTGTTAGGCATGCTTACACAGGATAAGACATTTCCTTGATTTTATTGCATCTCATTAGCAACAGAAGTGACTTTGACCTTAATTAAATTACCCACCTTTATTTAATTGAATGTCCTTTTATTTAAGGTGGAATGAAAGAACAAGATTTAATGTGCATTAAGCTTCATGGCGTGAGCAAAGTCGGTCTAAAGAAAATTATTGATTTCATTTATACTGCAAAGCTTTCTCTTAATATGGACAACCTTCAAGACACATTGGAAGCTGCCAGCTTTCTACAGATTCTGCCGGTTTTGGACTTCTGCAAAGTATTTCTCATATCTGGGGTAAGACATTTTCAAATTTTTTTTTCCCTGTGTTAAGTTCTGGTGTAGCCTATTTGGAATAGGACTCACACATCTGTTGTGTAGACATTAGAGAGTTGACATGTAGATGTGATCTGGAAGCCAATTAGGAGGAAAAAAGTACAGTGGCATTGTAACATTTAGCAAAAAGCCCTTTAGCCAAAAAGCCTTCTGTGTAATCAAATGACATCAAACACTTAGAGTGTTTGATAATGATATATAATTTTACCATGTTTGATGACATTATAAACCATAATATGTTTTATACCTTAATCATTTTATACATGCAGCCTTCTTAAATGAAAATCTGTGAAAAAGTAATTTGAGTTTCTAGTGGTCTCTTAAAACAGGCTCAATACTTTTTTTTTCCCCTTTAACATGGGAGCTTGGTCTTAAGAAGAGCTAGATGTGTAAACCTGAAAGGATATAAATCTTGATGCCGTAGAAACACTGTACCTGCTATAGTGTTTTAGCCTTAAAAAAAAAAAAAAAGAAAGGTAAGAGAGGGCACATGCAGCCTTGAATCACCGAACTACTTAGCTGTCACCCGGTTGCTGAAGAATGGTCTCTTATCGTAGTTGAGACCCTTGAATTTGATTTGTGGGAAACTAGCTGCCTATGTCATAGGAAAAATTGCCAAGAAGATTTCCAGAGTTTATAGAGCTTGATTTTTTGATCAAGAATATGGCATTAGTATAATTTTTATATACTGTATTTTCTAATTCATTATGTTTATGGATGATGTTTTTCTATAATCAGTTTTAATTCATGACAGTTTTAATATTGGTAAATAATTGCTGTTAGCCTTTAAAATAATAGTTTTGAGTCATAGAGCTTTCTTTAAAATACTAAGATTCAAGAGAACTTGTTCTTAAGTATTTTTTTTAATAAGCTACTCCCTATCTTATCAAGTCAGCCAACAGCTAATTTAACTGGATTTTTGAAGGTGTGTTTTTTGTTTGTTTCCATTTCACAGCACACAAAGAATTTACGATTACTTGTAAACTTTTGCACTAACTGCTATTTTGATGGGTTTTGTGGCAGCCTGGTGTTTTATTGTTAATTGGGATTGTGCCTTAACTGGTCATCTCCTCTACTGCACAAGTAGCCAAAGCAAAGTTTTAAATTTCCCATGACAATGCTCATGGCCATTACTGGATTTGGGGGTCAAATTTCACTTCAATTATAGTGGGACCTTCCCTTCAAGATCTGAGAGCCTCTCATTCTAGTTTTGTGCCATTGACATCATATTCCAGCTTAATTTCAAGGGAAAATGAATTGTGTTGAGTATATATATTTTTAAATGTCTCAAGTCCAGTTATTAATTTAGTAAATAGTGCTTAATACTTAACTGGTAGACTCTTAACAGTGCATTACACTGATCTTAGTCACAGGTAGTTGTCCTGAGCCACACTAGTGACAATACCATGATTTCTTTGGAACCAATCATTAACTAGAGGCATTGGTCGACCTATTTTCTAACACAGAAGCTTAATCTTTCCAACTTCAGATGTTGATTGTGGCCAGTTCTTTGGCATAAAAGAAGAGGATCAAACTGGAAAAAGCATAATTCATGAAAACTTATAGTAGTACATCACTGTCAAAATAAAAGGATTAGAAAATAATTGTGTGCCAGCTATTTAAAGCAATTTTTTATTTAAAGACAATATCATGGTAATTTTACAATATTGACAAATTTCCATTAATTAAAATGTTGATCTTTAATGTATTTGAAACATTTATTATAACTGTATGTTTTAATCATTTGGAAATGTCTTCTTTTCTATAGCTACTTAATCTTGTCTTAAAGACTATGTTCTTCATTCCCATTGTCCTCTGCAGACATTCTAAAAGCCATTTCTAATGAGGAAGAGGCTTCTCCCTGACAAAGTTCACTTGTGGTATAGTTTATTGTGACCTCTCTCAGTGAGGGAGCAAGTCTTTTCTTAGCGCAAGTCTATTTGACTTTTCCTTCATTCCCCTCACCTAGGATATGTCTGCATGGTTTTACAGTAGAAATCTTTCTCTGAATCTATGATAATTTCTGAGAAAAGTTGCTAGATTGTGTCCAAGGAACATATGGAATTTCAGATTTTCCTTTATCCTTTTCATGCATTTCAGTTTTCAGCTAAAACCTTCAGTTTCTAGTTAAAACCTATGTTCAGGCTTGCTGTTTATTTACCCTTTCCTTTTCAAACAATCAAAGTGAATCCGGAAAAAACGGTAGGCCTGCGTGCCTTTTCTACCTACAAGAACAGAAAGTTTGAATATACTGTAAATGTTTTTCAAAAGAAGATTTGACTTTTGTTCTCCCGTACGCTCACTTATCATAGGTAATGCTTTAATATAGCAATCTCATGCTTTAAAGAGTGTACTGACAGGGAATGCTTTAGAGCCAATAGGTTTGATGTCTTTAATGATGTAGCAACACTCGCTTACATAACCAACATAGAACTTGGATTAGAATTTTTAGAAAGAGAAGTCTGCTCCTAATAAATTCTGTGCCATCCCATTCTTCATCATTTGCATGGATGAGGAGCAGCGTTGGTACATATAATCTAAGCCAGCAAATAACCCACAAAGTGTTTATGTATGAGGTTTGAACGATAACTCTAAATCCAGTGTTATAGCTATACTTGTGTTTGATGAGAAAGAGATATCAGTTTCCTATAAAAGCATCAGGCTCAATGGAACAAGAACTGCCCCCTCCTGACTTTGCCATCCTTTGCAGAAATATGTTTTGTTAGGATAGTAGTTATTATTATTGCTTAAAGGATCTAGCATTTATATTTCTGGTATGCTGTTCTTGTTTGTAGTGAAAGAGTATAAAATGAATACAAAGGACAGGTAATTTGCTTTTTGAAAGTCTGCATCCACA